TATATGTCAGATAACTTGTAGCTTGATTTCTTTTTTCCTTTTTGGCCAGCACATAATAATGCCTTGCAAATTACAGTTAATTAATATTGAATGAATGAATGTTATACGTGTAGGATAAACTAAATCACATTTTCCCATTTGCTTCCTTGATAAACTTATGAAATAATATTCTGGTGGATTTTTATTTGGCAGTAGTTACGGTCATTCAGTTTTAAAGGCCTCTGTTTTTTAGATGCAAAACAATAAGAATGGTTTGGCTGGAGTGCCAATGTGCGGTAAATTTAGAAAGATAAGATAAAGCTAAACTGCGAGGGGCTTTAACAGCCAGAGAGAGGAGCTTGTTTGTCATCTCAGAGGCAAAAGGGAGCCAGTGGAGCTTCTTGAGGAGGAGAGTGATATGGTCAGACCTATGCTTTAGAGATATCCTTTTGGCAGCTGAGTGGATGATGAATTGGAGAAGGGAGAGACTAAATGCAGGGAAACCAATTAGGGGGCTGTTGCAGTAGTAGAGATAAGAGGTGATGAAAGCCTGAATTGAGATGGCAGCCTTGTGAATGGAAACAAAGGGAAAGATAGCATGGAGATAGACTTGACAAGACTTGACTGACTAGATATTAGGGGTGAAAGAAAGGGACTAATCAAGAGTTACAAACCTAGAGGACTAGAAGGATATGGTTCCTTCCACAGAAATAGGGAAGGCAGGAAGATGATTTGGTGGTGGGGAAAGATAGTGAGTTTTGTTTTGGGCATTCTGAGTTTAAATTGGTATTCAGGTAATTAGGTTTAGTAGGCAGCCAGTGAGGCAGGATTGGAGTTCAGGAGCAAGACTAGGGCTGGTCTTATAGTCATCTGCATAGAGATCATGTTTCAAACCCACAGGAGCTTATGAGGTTACCTGGAGAAAGTGCGTAGAGAAAAAAGAGAAGACAGCCCGGCACAGAGCCATGGGATGCACCTACTCATAGGACATAGCTGTTGATCCAGGAAAGAGACAGAGAAAGAGTGGTTGGTTAGATAGGTAAGAGGAGAAACTAAGGTTTAACAGATCACTCCAAGGTGATCAGACCTTGGGAAACCACTTAATGCCAAACTGTTCAAGGCTGATTTTGTAAACTGGAATGTCACCTTAATTATTGGCAGTGGGATGAAAGATACTTTTCTAGTAAACAGAGTACTTGGGTCTACAACACAGAGCACCATTTTCTTGGCATCAAGGAACCTAGAAAACATATTGGAATCATAAAGTTACTTAACAAGCATGGAATGAGAACCAAGGGGTGTTGGACAATTTTATATTGCATTCAGGGCTATAAGAACTCAGAGAATTACATGATCTGTGTCCTTTTAGAGAGAAAGCTTTCTTAATAATTGGGACACCTTCCAGATACAACATGGGCTGTGACAGAACAAACACATTCATATTTCTGTTGTTGCCCCCATTAAACTATGAGTACCTTGAGAATAGGGATCATCTTTTGCCTTTCTTTGTATCCCCAGCACTTAACACAGTGCCTGGCATATAATAAGTGATTAATAATGTTTATTGCCTGATTAGTTGACTTAGGCTCTATTTACGCTACCACCCTTCTTTTTGCATTTGTCATGAACAGATTTTAGGTTACTTTACTTTCAGATTGGTAATATCTGGGAGAAATCCTAATCCTTTAAGTAGTTTGGGAAACAATCTAGCATTATTTCATTCAATTTAGGTTTATGCTTAGTAACTTCAGGTTTTCAGAGGATTATATTTTTTGGCATTGTCCCTAAATTCAACAGGAGAGGAGTGCTAGCTTCAGAGCTACTAATCCCAGAATTTAAGAATTGGAAGATGCCTCAGACACCATTAGTCCAACTTGTACCTGACCAACCAAGAATCCCTCTCTGGGGTGATGTCATGTAACCATCTTCTACTTCCCCTTCAATAGGGAGACTCAGGGGAAGGAGGGTGAAGGGAAGAGTTTTTTATTCACATCAAACCTAAATCTACCCCAATGTGTATTTTTTTGAATTTAGGATAATCACTCTGTATTTTAATTTTCCTGTATAATTTTCTCAATACTGTATACATATTCTTTACCTGTGTTTCCCTTATCTGTCCCTTTAGGACAGGTAAGTGGTATTTGACTGTTGCTTGATATCTGTAGTGCTTCCATCAGAGTTGTTCTTATCAACCTATTCCAGGGGGATTTTGTATGCTATTGTATTGATGTTACATTCCAAGCACTTAGTGTTAAGTAGTCTAGAGCAGTCTAATATTTTCTTGAAGCATGATTAGTAACTGAAATTCATGAACAATAATGGGTGGTAATATATGCATTAAGAAGGGAAGTGATAACTGTAAAATTCCTTGAGAGTAGTGGGGAATTGATTATAGTTGCTTCCCCATGGTGAATTCTAGCAAGCAATGAAGAATTCTGGGGCACAGTGATGGAGAAGAAAAAATACACTTCTATTCCTTATTCTGCAAGCTAGTTGCAAACCTGGCATGAGATGGAGATATGATTTCTGCCAGTAGAATTAAGACCTCCAGACCTACCAGTCGATTGTGACTAAGTCACCTGGAAACTCCTAATAAAGATAGATAAATTCAGGTAGACTTTTGTGATTTAACTAAAGCTTTGGCAAGACTTTGGGACATATTATGTCATGGTTCCAAAATAGCATACAAGTACAAGAATTTGAACAATCCAAAATTCAGTTGACAAAATAAGATGCTGCACTTGTAAAGGTATATTAAATCTTGCTACCTTATAAAATAATGAGCTCCTCATTGTTCACAGATAGAGACTAGGTGGCTAACTGCCAGGTTGAAAGATAGAAGAGATTCTTATATTGGGTGGGAAATTCGACAAGATTTACCTCCACGATAGCGTTCTAGTCTAAGATTCTGATCCCAGGTAACAGGAACATTAATGATTAAGAAAGTTTTCCATTTAGCCCATTATCTTTCAGCATAGTATATTCTCAGTATGGTAAGAGCAGTATTTTTTTGAGTGAATGATTGGAGTCTAGGTTTTTAAAAGAAAATAAAGTTAATTTGGTGAACAATGAAAGATTCTTCAGCCCTTCCCCGCCCCCCCAAAAGCATATAGATAGATGAAGGCAATTAATACATCTGTAAAATAAAATTAGTAGATTAAATAATAATGTAAGATCTTTTCCAACTCTCAAATTCAGTGATTTTAAGAGATACTTCTGTGCATTCATACGAGTACAAAAAATATTTAAACTTAAAGAGAGATCTAAGTCTAGCAAAGCTGTGTATGTATACTCTACATTCCTTTTCTGTAATCAGAAAAATTGCTTAAGCTTTGTACTGCCTTCCTCATCGCATACATAGATGTTGCTTCCATAGGATATGTACTTCATACAACTTAGCAGAATACTAAAAAAATGCTGTCTAGCAGAACTCCTTACTTTTAATGGGAAGATAGACTCTTGGTGACACGTTTTATAAATGTAATCTATGTAGAACACTTGAAACTTTTTTTCTTATAAGGATTTGATAACATTGATAAGTAGATTGTGATCTTTATGTGTTTCATAGATCTGCATTTGATTCCAAACTTCCAAGATGTATTGTCTAATAAAGTTAATATTTTAAGATTCTTAGAACAATGGAACTGTAGTTCTCTGGTTATTCATTAGAGAATTTTAGTTCACAATACAATTTTGGAACCAGTAGTTTTGGTGAAGAGGTAAAATATATGTGATTGTGAACACTAGAAGATATAGCTCCTACAGAAATTATAGCTCCTGGCTGAAAGGTAATCTGGTGCAGAAAAAGGCCCACAAAACTCTGGTTGAACAAATTAAAATGTAATTGGGAAATGTGAGTTTGACACTAGTGATCTAGTGTAATATGCATCTGAGCAGGAATCCCTTTGCTTGGTTTAGGTTTTTAAAGTGATTGCTCTGGAATCCTAATTCTATCAATAAATGGTAAACACTCCTTCTTTTCAAATATGAAATAGACGTGTACACTTAGTAAATGTTTCTTAGGAGCAAGTTGATGTGCTGAAGGTAGTAGGCATTATAAAGATTTATATTTGTACTCACTGTGAGCATATAAACGATTCATGTTAAGATACATAGAATCTGACACATAGCAGATAGCATAGAAAATAGTACATGCCCAGTTTTAGAGAAGTTTGTGTTTTTAATAATCATAATAAAGTTAAGTGAACTTAAAAATATCCTCCCATTCCATTTTAAAACAACTTTTTTATAGTAAGTTAGAAGCATTTAATGTAAATAAGTTTTTTAAATTAATAAAACTAAGACTCTTTGGTTAACTAGTTGGTTAATACAGTAAGTATTTTTGTGCATATGTAATACTCATCTGCATGTTCTTTTATGTAGTCCTAAATTGAAATTGCCCCATCTCAGGCAGGTCCTTTTCATTCGACATGTAGGGTCATTTTATGTGTGTGGCTCATTATGTATACATTTTTATGTGAGAATGTAAGGAATGCAAATTTTTTCTTAATTTGCCTAGGACTAGTATTTTCAGAAGAATTTCTCATTAAGATTAGTATTTAAACTGGTTTATTTTAATTTAAGATGGTAAGTATTATTTTAAATCTTGAAAAATGAATGCTGTCTTCAAAAGTCAGTTATTTTTAATAAATGTTCATTTGCTATGGAATATAGAATAATAGAATGTTATGCCTTAACATGGAAATTAATGCAAGCCCACAAATTTATATTGTTAATTTAACCTGATTTTTAAAAATTATCCATTACAAATGCGTTGTGCAGATTAAGGATACATTTTTGTAGTGTCTATTCTTAGATTTAGAGTGCCTCTGTCTGATCATTTGGTATCTATTATGTTGATATCTATACTAACAAACATAGATTCTTTTGTAGTTAACAGATAAACTGCTACTTCAATGTTAATGGTGGTTTTACATGTTGTGGAAATGAATTTCCATATCATATTATTTATTTTGATCAAATTGAAAATCTTAACTGTATTTTAAAACTTTTTGCCACAGCGTTTTACCAACGAGGATCATTTGGCTGTCCATAAACATAAACATGAGATGACACTGAAATTTGGTCCAGCTCGTAATGACAGTGTCATTGTGGCTGGTTAGTATATGCTTTTATTAATAGCTTATATACATCGTTCTCCTGGAATGTGCACAATTTTTGTGTATTTTCTGTACATAATTGTGTGATACCTTTTACACTGGTGAAAAATGCCAATGATTTCATTTGCAATAAATGTTTGCAACATGTATTTTACCCATTACATATCCATTTCCACTTCTGACCATTCATTCACTTTTTTTTTAATGTGCTTTTAAATGTAGGTTTCTTTGTCAGCATTGTGGGAATTAGTGGGAACTTTGTTGAGCGTGCATAGATTGCTAATGATTGATCTCTGTGGTATTAAGTGAATGTTATTTTTGACTTTCTTGAACCTTATTTGCTAAGTATTCTAGAAATTACTTAAAGGCCCAAATAGCTGTCTGCTATTAGGAAGAGCAATTAGCAAATTCATGAGTTTAGATTCTGTTTACACTTTTCTTAAGGCTAATTTTATCCATAAAATAAGATGTTCTACTTACATTTCAAACTATTAGTGACTCTGAATAAAAGAAAAAATCTACAGTTTGACTAGGAATGTAACTAAATTTCATTTTTAATTCTCCCAACAGTGTCTGAAATTTAATCAACACTTTTCTTTACCGAAACATAGAAACAAAATTAGTGAATTTGCTAATTGTTTTTTCCCTGCTCTTGACACTAGGTGATAGAATATTTTTCCTGTATGTATACACAGATACATATTTGTATCTTTGCTGAAGTTCCATATTTAATGGATAACTGTTGTGGAAAAAAATAAACATGGAAGTTTTTATTTGAGAATTTTACATAAAATTGTAAATATTCTTTACATTGCCTTGTACATATGATTAACAAAACTACATTCAAATTTTAAAAAATTGTTGTGAATTGCTCATTTGTCTATGAAAATTTGTATTCAGTTTCCCAGAGCCTTAAATGCTTCACTTGCCTTGAATTGAGTTAAAAAAATCACACATAATCTAAATAGGACTTTTTTTTAGTGAACCTCTAAAGGATAATATTTACAAAAATGACACTGTACCTTAAAAAGGAGAATGCTTGGAAATGCATACATTTTCCAGGAGCGTTTTGAAATCGTGCCATTTAAAAATTACTGAATGTGCAATAAATTTGGAAGAAAAGATAGAATGGTGTGTATAGTATTATGTATCATTTTAATGTTTAAAATATTTGTAATGAAAAATTAGATGATAGAACATCTCAGAATCTTTAAAAAATTATTCATGGTGGATAAATTAATAAACTTTCAAGAATGCTTTCATTTTTATCTTTTTTTCTTTTAAGATTTCAGTTTCAAATTATGTCTTTAAATACATACAGGGAAAAATGAATACACTTTTTAAAAGATCTAAACAGAAAGGCGAAGGGGACAGCAGGGAACATGTATTTCTAGATTGTGTTAGGTATTGTACTCTTAACATTAGAGTTTGCCTAGAACAAATTTGATTTCACAATCCTAGAATGGCACAAACTCTGTGATTCTTTATGCAGAATCACACAATCACTAAGTTGGAAGGGACTTCAGAAGTCATCTCTGATCTGAATTACAAGAATCCTTTCTACAACATACCTAAGTGGTCATCCAGCCTTTGCTTGAAGACCTCTAGTCATAGACAACCCATTACCTAGAACTTCTATAGATTAATTTTTTAGATGTAACTTTATGCCTAAATTTAGGCTTGAGGCTTTATATAAGGACAAATTTCTTAACAATTAGTGGCCCAGAATTGAATAGGATACTCCAAGAAGTATTTCCCTTACTGGCAATCTTCAAGTAAAAAGTGGATGACTTCTTGGCAGGCATTTTGTTGGGAATTCCCCCCCTCTGCCAGATATGTGTTACATTAGATGGTCACTAAAATCCCTTCCAATATAGAAATTATTTAATTCTATGAATATTTTATGATGGAGACTCCAAATTGTTGAGGCATCTCAGTGGCACAGTGGAAAGAGCTCTGGACTAAGTAAGGAAGACTTGGGTTCACATCCCAGTCTTAAGACACTTAATAGCTCTGTGACTCTGGGCAAGTCACTTAACCTTCATTTGCTTAAATTTTCTCACTTGTAATCACAGAACCTACTCCCAGGGTTGTAGTGAGGATCAAATAAGTTAACTTTAAGTTAAAACATTCTGTAAACCTTAAAACACTGTAGAAGTGCTATTTTGTTTTTAATAATAGCCTTGCCTTAATGGTCTTCTTTAATAGCTGTTTCTCAAACGAGCTAATGTATGCCTTCTGAACAGTTGCGTTGTCATTGAGTGCTAAATAGACCCATTTTGACCAATAATCTTAAATTGTAGATGAACACTAATTTAATTTGCCCTCGAGCAAGTAGTGAAAACTGAATTAAAGGAGAAGAAACATTCTTAAAACCATAATTCTACCTTCTCAGAGTACTACCTTGTATTTTCATGAGTTTAGATTTTGAATTTGTGTTTAAATTTATAATTCATGGTATTTGACATTTTTTGAAACATCAAATAAAAACATCCATATGTACATATATAAATTAATCATTTTGTTTATGTAATATATATATATATATATATAATTTTTAATATTCATCAATACTCAACACATAAATGGTTGTACTTGTGTTGATATTTGAGTTCTCAGTCTTAATGGTTTGTTTTGTTTTATGTCTTCTTTCATTTGTGGCCACTTATTTAGTATGTTCATTGAGAAAAATTGATTAAGCTAAGCCTTTTTTAATGAAAACTTGTTACTTTTTTCCCCCTTTAATACTCATCAAGAGTCCCTGGTGAGAACAGTTGAATAAACAAATCATTAGATTAAAAACAGAAGTCAGCACAGACATAGTGTGCTATTAATTGATCATTGATGAATACGAGATGAAATATATACAGTTACACTGGAAATTAACTATATAACTTTCTTTCTTAGGAATATGTTACAAGATTGCTTTATAGATAAATAAGATAGTAAGTGCAATATAGTAAGATAATGGTATAATGAAATCCTTTTAAAACTATAAACAAGGCTCCAAGGATGCATAGGCTCCAAGAAAGACCTGCATTATACCAAATTACATACAGAATGAGTCACAATATAATAAAGATATATTGTATTTTTACTAATATGTATGCATGCATATGTGTATATATATATATATATGCCTATATATACAGAAAAATACTTGTGTTTTTTATACGTGTATATATATGCGCATACATACACACATATATTAAAAATACACAAATGTTTTCTGTAACTGTGCAGACCAAAACTAAATACTAGTAAATTAATTTCTGTGGCAAAGATAAAACAATTAGGAAATTCACACCTGTTTGAATTTTCATTGATTGTGCTTGAAATTTAGATTACATTTTTCACATCAGGGAGATAGCGTCAAAAAATACTTTGATTAGCTGAACCTGGCTTCCTGGTTTGAACTGCAAGATAACATTAAAATTTGTACACAATTTCATGTAATAATAGGCTGATTAAAGCAGAGGTCTTAGTTATACAGATTAATAAACAATACAGATTTTAATAAACTTTGGAAATAAAAGGCAAAACTGTTACAATGCATAAATCTGCTATTTGTTCCTCCTTCAATATACCTAGTAGCTGGCATTTGTACTTTAGCTATGGTATGTGTATACACTATGTACATATTACTGTATTTAGTATGTACACACAAATCCAAATATTGATATAGTATCTTTACTAAGTTAGGAAACACTCATGATTATTACTGTTACTTGTTAATATACTTGGTATGGAAGATATATTTTTGACAGCACACTTTGCTTTATACAAACATAGGTAGCATTAAAATTAAGAGCTAGCTTCAGAACATGGTAAGTAGATATTTTAAGATCTTAAAAGTGTTTTATGGTGTTATTACATTGATATTTTAGCCTGCCTATTAAACTTTATCCCCCTCAAAAAAAAAAAAGACAAAACAAAAAGCTGATTTTGATATAAATTATCTGGTGGGAAGGAAAGTTTATAAATATGACTTTTCTTTAATTTTTTTCTTAAAGCTTATTCATTTTCAGCTGTACTCACATGTTGGATAGTAGTAATGATTTTAATTAAAAATAATTGATCCCTGAGCACATTGGTATAGCCAGCTATCTCACTGATTAAGGAGCAGAAAAGACTTCTCTTGAACTTTTTTCTGTAAAGCTGGAGGAATCTTCTTGTCTGCTGTAGAAACTTAACTAAATCTTGTTTGCTTTAAAGGAAGAGTTCTTTCCAAAGAAAAGATAAGCAGCTGACTGAATCAGTTATTTGCTGTTTTTTGTGTTAATAGCCAAATTTTAGAGCATCTTTTCTAATACTTAAAATAATATGTGATTATTTCTTTACATTTAATTTCAGATCAGACACCAACACCAACACGATTCTTGAAGAACTGTGAAGAAGTGGGTTTGTTCAATGAGCTAGCGAGTCCATTTGAAAATGAATTCAAAAAAGCCTCAGAAGATGACATTAAAAAAGTATGTTGGCAGCACTTTGAATTTAAAGACTTTGTAGGGATACTGCTAGCTATTATTGTAGTATCTTGATTCATGTGTTTACCTGTTTATTTTATTTCTGTTTTGCATTTAATGACTTTATTTTAATGAACACTTGCATTTAGATGCCTCTAGATTTATCCCCTCTTGCAACACCCATCATAAGAAGCAAAATTGAAGAGCCTTCTGCTGTGGAGACCTCTCACCAGGATAGTCCTTTACCTCACCCGGAATCCACTACCAGTGATGAAAAGGTTAGATATTTACATTTATTTGGAAAAATTCAAATTTAACAGAATAAATTAGTCACCATTCTAAAGCTGCATACTCTGAATAAATTGTACATTTAGTAAATGAGTATAAACTTACTATACCATCTTTCTTGTTAATAGTACTGTGTATGACAATAAGCAGTATAATTAAAAAAGAAAACTCAAGGATTTCAGGAAAATTATATGTATATTGAATAATAATATCCTCTTTGTTGTAGACAAAAGAAAAACAGAGGGAAACAAATTAGGTATAAGTTATGGTATTAATACAAAACAAAGAAATCAAACTTCTGATGACCCAATTTCTTTGGTAGATTTTTCTGACTTGCATGTTACAGATATAAGCCTGAATATTAATGAAGAAATCACCGTATCATTTATGTAAATCTTTATATGCAGTCTATCTACATTCGGGACAGTATCATTTCTGTTTTTGTTACCTTTCATCCTTATTTAAATGCTTTCTTACAGGCTTACAGCCTTAAGTTCATGCCTTTCTCTTCTGTGCCTTCTAAACATACAGTGCTACTTTTATATACTTTGTCTTAGATTGTGACTTGTCTGTTGTTCTGGAGCCAATATCATGTTTCCTCACATTTTTTAGCACCTCTGAATTCTCCTTATAATTCTGTGGATCATAGAAAGTTGCAGCTTCTTCAGAAGGTCCATATTCATACTTTATAGTAAGAACCTTATACTTGATATGTAATTCCAGTGATTGAGAATTCCTTTCACATACAATTCGATAAATATTAAGTTTCTACCATGTTCAATGTACTAGAACAATGAAGATGAAAAACCATATAATCCTTGCATTTAAAGAGTTTATAATCTACTGGAGTTTATAATAATTGGAAATTTTTCTCCTCTGTCATTCGTTCACTTAGTAGCCTCTACATGGTTTTGTTTCTTCTCTGCCCCTCCAAAATCTGCTTCCACCTTTCTTCCTTAACAGATTATTTTTTTCCAATCTGATTTAGTAACCTTTACTCTCTCTGATAAGCTGGAGTATAGAGGGTAGTTTTCCCCAAGTCCTTTCGTCTTCACATGGAGAGAGATCAGGTTGTATTTCTAACACGTGTAGTAGTGAACCCATTATCCCTCAATCTCACAGCATGACCATAATATAATGCAGCCCACTTGTTGCTGCCACACATCTCTCTCTTGATCTTTGAGCCACCTAAAGCCTTCATAGATCTAGTGCTCCAAGATTCACAACTGTGCAACAGTACCAGGAGAACATTTGTATTTAAAAAGATGGGCTTTTATGCTGGGGAGCAGCATGGAATCCTCAAAAGGACTATACAGTTTTACAAATTTAGTCCAGTTCTCTCTTTTTCTTTTTTCAGTTTTTGTCCTAGTTCATTGTTCATCTATGGTGCCTGTCCTAGATATATGACATACTGTCATAATAAATCATTGAACTGACCTTCCAATCACATCTCATAATCTAGATCAGTTCTCTCTAAACTTTTTTGATTGTGCAACCCTCTCTGTTAAAATTTGAGCCTGAACTACCAAAATGTATTTATTTGTAAAATTTATGCACATGCTACTGTACTAATATATTACATACATCAGTGTTATCAAAGTAACATAGAAACAGGTGCCACTAAGCTATATATAAGGAGCCCTGTGGGTTGTATATTGACTTAGAAAACTACATATTAACATTATGTATGTTCTATTTTACTTTTATTTATTTTGTTAAATATTTCCCAAATACATTTTTAATCTAATTTGGGCTGCACTTGACAGTGTTGTGGACTGCAGTGCAGCCTGCACTCTGTATATTTGATACCTCTGATGTACATTAGAAACCATACATGAAAATAAAATTTTTTAAAGGATGAGATAAAGATAAAATAACATTGCTAAATAATTTTTAAAATTTCATTTGTTAATCATACAAAAAACACTCTTTTGCTGTCATTGCACTGGGAAACTCTTCCCAGAGAGTTTTGTGCTTCCAGGGATCGTATTCTGGCTAGAAGAAGGATATATGAGTTTTCGAGGGTCACTTGGCACCTGAAAGAGTTGGGGCAGGGAAGGATATGGAACCAGAGATTCTATGACATGACATGACATGACATGACATGACATAGATGAGAGCAAGAAGGCACATTAGTGGCCGGCTTCCTCATTGAGTCTGAGAGACTGAGACTCAGAAGTAGAATTTCAGCCAGGGCCCTCTAATTTTTAAATCTGTTACCTTTTCCATTGTACCATGTTGTGCTGTAGTCATAGCCATAGTGTTTTGGATCTTTAACCAGCATGATGGAGTTGGACAGGACCATTTTATAGTTTGTGTTGCTTTGGCCAACCCTGTACTCTTTACGTTGCTAGCAGGCACTAACAAGAGACTGCTGATTACAGCTTCTCTAGTAATTCTTTGTCTCCTTTTCCTCCTACCCAAGGTTATGGTTGAAGCTACTGTAATGTCCTTTAGGGCTGTACACAATAATAGGAATTTCTTACAGTCCGATATACCTAATAATTGTCAAAATTAAAGTAATATGTACACTTAGCCAATAAAATTGGACATGTGCTGGATAATAACCTTAGTTTGCCTAATAGGAATGGTAACTAAATGAATTGGCAAGGGAACAATGACCTTGCATTGGTTGCAGTTATAGATCACTAAAAGACTTTGGATAAATTTAAAAATTGTTTTCCTTTATCCTGCTATTTAATAGGAAGTATCGTTGCCACAGACTGCACAGCCCACATCAACTATAGTTCGTCCAGCATCACTACAGGTTCCTAATGTACTGCTCACAAGTTCAGACTCAAGTGTCATAATTCAACAGGCAGTACCCTCTCCAACATCAAGTACTGTCATCACCCAGGCTCCTTCCTCCAATAGGCCAATAGTGTAAGTAATGGCATTTGATAATTAAGTGACATATATTATTAGCTTTTTTCTTTATGGAATTTATAATTTATTTCATTCATGTGAGTGTCAGGGTAAGGTGTCAAGACAAATTTAAAATTATAAAAAAATGATTTCCTTTTTAATTGATAAAAAATACATGCCATAACTCCCAGTACATTATAATTTTGCATTTCTGTCTTCTTTTCTCCTACCCTTAGAACAAAAATTAATTTGCAGGACAAATTAAAAGCCTATGTTATAAAGGACTTAAACACCATGAAATGTTGTGAAGGGCTTTGAATACCAAAGAGATGATTTTATATGTGATCTTGGAGGTGAGAAGAAGCCACTAGATTTTATTGAATAGGGAGTTGATTTGGCCAGACTTGTACTTAAGGAAGATCATTTTGACAGCTAAATAGAGGATGAGCTGGATTAAGGAGAGCATTAAGACAGTGAGAGAGACTTAACGAAGAAGGCTATTGCAATAGTTTAGGAGGAATGTCATCAGGGTGTGTGCCAGGATGTGGCATTATGGGAGTAGGAGATATATAAGATGTTAGGGAGGTAGAAACAATAGGCCTTGGTAACTAATTGGATATGGATTATGAAAGAGTGGGATATTGAGGATAACATCCATATTAGGAGCCTAGTTAGAAGGCAGAATGGTGGTACCCTCACTAGTATTAGAGAAGTTAGGAAGAGGAGAGAGGTTCAGTTTCATTTTGGATACAGTGAGTTGAAGATGTCTACAGGATTTTCAGTTCAAAATATGAAGTAGGCAATTGGAGATGTGCAACTGGAGGTCAAGAGAAAGATTATGGCCATATAAGTAGATCTGGGAATTATCAGCATAGATGATGATGATGATAATTAAATCCATGGGAGTGATGAGATCACCAACTGAAATAGAATGGAGGGAGAAGGAGGCCAAGTACAAAACCTTATAGGGGAGACACCAATGTTTAGAGGGTATGACCTGAATGAAAATCTAGCAGAGAAGACTGAAAAGGAGCAATCAGATAAGTAGGAGAATGAGGAGGGAGAAGTGTCATGAAAACCTAAAGAGAAAAATTATGAAGGAGAAAAGGTGATCAACTATATCAGAGATTGCAGAGAGATCAAGAAAAATGAGGATTGAGAAAAGGCCATTTAGATGTGGCAGTGAAGAGATCATTGATAACTTTGGAGAGAGAATAGTTTCAGTTGAATGATGAAGTCGGAAGCCAGGCTGAAGTTGAGAAAAGAAAGGAAATGGAGGCATCAATCACAGTAGCCTTGATTTTAGCGCAAAACAGAAGAGAGATATGGGAAAATAGCCAGCAGGGATGAATGGATCAAATGAGGGATTTTTTGAGAGTGGGGGAGACATAGACATATTTGTAGGCAGGAGCAAAGCAGCCAGTAGACAGAGAATGCTTGAAGAAAAGTGAGAGAATGGAGCTGATGAAAGAGGGAATCTTCAGGAGAACACTGGATGGAATAGAACCACTTGTGCATGGAGAGAAAAGCTGCCTCTTCATTTGAGACCAAGAGGAAGAAGAAGGTAGAGGTCAAAGACTTCTGAGATGACAAAGAGCAGATAAGAGGGAGATCTTGGCAAATGGTTGCAATTTTTTTTTCAAGTGAAATTGCAGCAGTTTCAAAGTCTATTTTTTAAGGTTGGCTTAATAATAATTTAGTTATGAATCTCTATTTTTTTTTTAACAAGATTACCTTTTTTTCTCTGCTTTCTTTTTATTTTTTCTTAAATTTTCCCCATTTTGTTTCTCAGTCCTGTACCAGGTCCTTTTCCTCTACTGTTACATCTTCCCAATGGACAGACTATGCCCGTTGCCATTCCTGCCTCAATTACAAATTCTAATGTACACGTTCCTGCTGCAGTTCCAGTAAGTTTGAAATTAAAATATGATTTTTTTTTCTATCCAGCAAAGGTAATATTAGCAAAAATAAGTAGAAAATATGTTTCAAGGCTGATATTTTTGTTAGTAAGTTGTATTATAATTTTTTAAGTAATTGCATAGTATTGCAGGGAAATTTTGAGGTAAAATATTTTTTCAGTCAGGTGGAGTAGTGGATAAAATGCTGGACTTGAAGTCAGGAAGATCTTTAGTTCAAATCCAGTTTTAGATACTTATAAGCCGTGTCAGTCAGTCAAGAAACATTAAGCACTTATGTGCCAGACACTGTTGTAAGCAGTAGAGGCACAAAAAAAGGTAAAGGATATATCCCTGCCCTCCTGGAGCTTGCAGTCTAATGGGAGAGACAACATGCAAACAACTATGTACAAGCAGATTATAAACAGGATAAATAGGAAATTATCAATAGGGGAAAGGCACTAGATTTAAGAGAGATCGGGAAAGATTTCCTGTAGCAGTGAGATTTTAGCTGAGATTTGAAGGAAGCCAGGAGATGAGGAGAGAGAGCATTCCAGGGTTGGGAGACAGTGAAAATGCCTGAGTTGGGAGGTGGAGTATCTTGTTTTAGGAATAGTGAGGAAACTAGGACCACTGCATCAATGGATGTATAAGGGGTGGGGTGGGATTTACAGTATAAGACGTCTGGAAAGTTGGTAGGGGGTGGGGGAACTTCTTTATGAAGAACTTTGAACATCATACAGTGGAGGACCCTGGGCAAGTAATTTAATTTGACTCATGCCACGATTTCCTTATCTGTACAATGAAAGTAATACTAGTACCTACCTCTCTGTTTTTGTGAGGATAAAATACGACAGTGTAAATCATTTTGCAGTCCTTAAACTGATATGTAAGTGCTAGCTGTTATTATTACTATTAACATTATTAAATTTGAGTAGTTAGGATTTCTCCATTCAAAAGTATATGGTGTCTTGACAGCTTCTTAGAAATATAATGTAACATAGAACATTTCTTTTAGCTATTCCTTCAGTGTTAGGCAGCATAGTGGAGAGTGGAGGGCAAGCCTTGGAGTGAGAAGGACCTGGTTCAAGGCCTGCTCATTCTAAGACTACAGCCAACTTTCATGCTTCAGGCCTTTCACTAGATGAGTTACCAGGCTGCCTTGGGGGAGGGAATTTCCATATAGGAAGTTTCTGTACTGCTAAATCTCAGATCCTTACCATGATCACCACTCCCACAAATAATACAAAGAAGAATTGAAGTTATTCTATATCCAACACTACTTTAATGAATTTTTTCTATACTTTCTCTCACTGTATATATGTACATATGTATGTATACATATATTTCAGCTGTTATGTTTCTATATGTGTATGTAATATTCATATGCTTTTTTAAAGCCAGATTTTTAGCTTTAAAAGTGTGTGTAAAAGATCACTGTTAATGAGTAATACCAGGCAGCCTGCAAGTGAATTTAGAAATTATTAAAAGCATCATACTTCTGTACGTTTTAGTGATAAAGTTGGGAATATAACATCCTTGTGACCACTTCAGTAACCAGCAAAAATTATAATCTTAAAATGCTGAAAATTCAAATTATGATAGAAGCAACCTGAATGTAGTGCACTTTGACTTTATTTCAGTTTACATCAGCTTCAGTAGATTTAATCAAAAAGAAGACTCTACTCCAGATTACTCACCAAAAAAAGTGTCTATGCAACCCAGTGTTTATAGCCAGGATGATGCTTTGTAGCAATTATTTTAATAAGGACTTAAAATACCATTCAGTCAGATACAGATGTCCTTCATTTAATGAACTGCTAGCAGTAGTAATAGGGACACAGCAGCTAATGTACCTCTTTCAGGCCAATGTTAGATTTAACCTTGCAGGGAGTGTCTCCTGGGTTGAGGTGTGGATGAATGGAACTATTCCATTAACCTTTTCTGAGCCAATATTAACTCTGTCCTGGTGGTTTCTGTTTTTTTAAAATGTCTGGTAAAGGCTAATTCCATTTATATACTTAAGGTATTTTTGAGTGATATACTGTTTATCTCTAGTATCAGAGTCAGAGTACAGCTATGGAAAATTTGTGAGAATTTTTTTTTTCAAGAATACATAGTGAAATTGTGGGACTCAGTAATTGAGACAGAATGACAGGGTGATAAAAAAAAGTATGGTTGTTGAATTAAAAAGGAAGAATTTTGTATGAGTATGTATTTATATGTCCAGTTGTGTGTGTTTATGTGTGAGTATATACATAGATATGTATATGTTATATTCTCAGTTGCTAATAGGCCTAGGGTGGGAGAGATTCTGAGTTTTTGGATACCATTTTTGTTATATTACCTATAGTATAAACAGAATGAGGCTTCTGCTTATATATTCTGTAGAAAAAATAAATTTTAACATGTTTGCACAGCTTGTTAGACCTGTCACCATGGTGCCTAGTATCCCAGGAATCCCAGGTCCTTCTTCCCCACAACCAGTGCAGTCAGAGGCTAAAATGGTAAGTGAAGTTTTTTTAAAATTCTTTTAAGTTTTCTTTGAGTCTATTGTGGATCTGTTTTTTATGTAATGGTGCCTGATTTAACTGTGCCACTTAGTCCCTGTAAATGCTTTAGTCTGAAAGATTTTATTTTGTAGAGCATTAGAGAAGAAACTAATTCTTCAAGAAGACAAACTGCCCATAAAGTGTGGGCTGATCAGAAGGCACAGGCTCTGCTCTGCGCCACACACAACTTTAAGGCTACCTTTTACTATGTGTTGATTCAAAAGTTCCAAACTCCCTTGCTCCTCCTGGTGGAAGCTGTTTACATTGCAGTAGGAATTTAACTCATTTTCTCCTAAGGAGGTAAAAATGTAATGTTACTAAAGTTACAGTAATCTCTGTCTCCTGCTGGAGAAAAATTTGCAAATATTCCATAAGTTGGTTAGGCAAATGATCAAACTTATCTTAAGAAAAGCAAGAATTTTGCATTTGTCACAGACAGTAAGAAACCTAGTCAGAAAAAGCAATATTAACAGTGAGAAGAGTGCTCAGCTGGGAATTAGAAGGCCTGTGTTCTAGTTCTAGCTCTGCCATAATCTTGATGTGTGACCGTAAGCATGTCATCTGTTTTGTCATCTGTAAAATGAAGAGGTTAAACTAGTTGATCATGAGATAATAATTGTAAATTGTTTAGCATAGTGCCTGGCACATAGTAAGTGCTATATAAATGTTAGTTATTATATCTTGTATATAGGTACATATACTGTATGCACATACATTCATATATGTTTCTACTTGTATGAGGCATTTGTTACTGTGGCACAAAAAATGCAATATATTCCAGACCAATAAATCGCTTATCACGGCCAAGCAATAAATGACATACATCACCTGCACAATAAATGGCTCATCACACTGATTTAATAAATGGTTTACCATTCTAGTGGAATAAAGAATTTATTCTGTTGGTGCAGTGAATGAAATATATTGTTTACATAATGTAAGTGTATAAGCATTTTATAAATATGAAATGTGAATTTTTATAAAAAGTAAAAGCATGTAAGTATTTATTTTAAAAAATAAATCGATCTCTTTAAGTCCCCTTGCATTCTAAGAAAGCTATGAATGATTTGATGAATTTTTTTTTTTACTTTTTGGTGAGGTAATTGGGGTTAAGTGACTTGCCCAGGGTCACACAGCTACTAAGTGTCAGGTGTCTGAGGCTGGATTTGCACTCAGGTCATCCTGACTCCAAGGCTGGGGCTCCTAGCGGCCTCTGAAATATGTTTTTTTTTAAATCACCATGCAACTTAGGCAGTTCTGGGCCATCTCTTTGCCATCAATAAAAACTCTATAGGGAAAGCTTTTCCCAAATTTATTTAGTAATGGAATACTTTAATAGTGTCTTTATCCAGCTTATATGGGAAAGATCAGGTGGATTTGAGCAAAAGGAGGAATCATGAAGGTTATTTGGAACCTTTGTAATTATAAAGAAGACAGGAGATTGAATATGGGAAGGAGAAATTTGAGTGGACTTGAGGAAAAGTTGGAGAGCTCAAACTGATGGAGGAAGACTAGAGCTGGAGGAAAAGCAAGACCAGTTGGATGTGAAGGTAGTTATTAAGACCAGAGAATTTAGTAAAATAAAGGAAAGGAAGTTAGGCATGGCAAGTTGCTAAAAGGTAAAGAGCACTAAATCAAGGTGAACAGTGAAAAGAGCACTCAGCTAGAAATTGGAAATCCTTAAACTAATTCTAAACTTACAGATATACATACACAGGCAATTTGCCCCAGCCTTCTTCTCTAAGTGAGCTGCTAGCAAGAACAACAAAGGAGTAAGAATCCCACTTCCAAAAGATAAGGAGATCAGGAATAATTCTACATTTCCCTGCGTAAATTATGCGGTAGTTTGGCAGTGAACCATGGCTGCCACCTATTCTCAAAATGTAAGTTGATGTCACTTCTAAAAGAGGAAATAAAGGAGCATGAGAAATGTCCTCCACTCTCCAAGTTAACTAGGATAATGAAATGTTGCTTACAAAAATGGAAGAAACACTAAAGTATGAAGACAAACCAAAAAAAAAAGGCATCTAAAGAGGTAGAGGGGGATCCTTACCTGTGTCATTAGATTTAAGTGTACAAGAATGTCATACAAAGTAGAAAAGGGAGGAAAAGGCATTTCTGCCAAATAAAAAATATAAAGCTCTTGCCCAAAGAGACAAGAGTTGGATCATCTGAGAAAAAAAGAGGAAGAAGTAGCTGTTTAACCTCCAATAAATGATAACTGTCAGTTGAAAGACCACCCAGTTAGTTTAAATGTATTAGCCTAGCCCTCTTTGGATTTAGCCAAGTTGAAAGGATAGGAGGAAGAGAAATTTGTTTATATATATGTTCAGCAAGCTAAGTACCATGTCAAAAAGTATTTACTATGTGCATGTACTATCCTAGATCCTAGGGATACATGTACAAAAACTATAGGTTTTCAGTGAGCTTATATTCTAAAGAGGGAGACAGGCACATGTAAATAGAAATAGAAAGAAAATAAATACAAATGCATAAGGTAGTTGCGGGGGCAGGGCACTAGCAGTTGAGGAAATCAAAAAAACTTCATGTAAAGATTGTTACCTGACCTTCATCTTAAAAGAAGAAAGAGACCGAGACTCTTTGAGGCAGAGGTAAGAAGGCAGTGAATTCCCCGTGTCATGAGGGATAGCTAGTGCAAAGGCAAATGTTTGAGGAACAGAAAGTCCAGTTTCATTGGGTCATAGAGTATAGGAGGGAAACTAATGTCCAAAGAAGCTAGAAAGGTAGAGTGGGGCCAGGTTGTAAAGGCCTCTGAGAGCCAAATCAAGGGTTTATATTTAATCATAGAGACAATGGGTAGCTTGGAGTTGGTTGAATAAGGGCATGCCGTTGACAGCTTTGCACCTGAGAAAAATTACTTTGTTACTTAGCAAAGTATAAGTATTGAGAGGCACCTAAAGGCAGAGACTTATTAGGAGGCTTCTGCAGTGATCTAGGCAAGGGGTGATTAGGGCCTAAAGTAGGGTGGTAGCTATGTGAGTGGAGAAAAGTCTAAAGAACAAAATTTGATAAGTGATTGGGTATATAGGATGAGAAAGAGTTAGGGATAATGCTTAGTTTATGAACCTGAGATACTGGGAAGAAGGTAGAACCTTTGAATGAAATAGAGAAGTTTGGAAGAGGAGAAACTTTAGAAGAAAAGATGAGTTCAGTTTTAGATATACTGTTAAAGATGTCTCCAGGATATCCACTTTGATATGTACTTTGAAATATCCTATAGGCAGTTGGTGATATTGTACTGAATCTTATCTGGGATTCATCTGCATTGAAATGATAATTACACCTTTGGGAATTGAGGAAGAAAGAGGAAAGGGCCCAGGACAGAAACTTTGGAAATGCCAACTGTTAGGTTATCATCATGTGGATAATGTGGATTTGAATCCATGATAGGGATGATGAGCAAGAAAAAGAGACTGAGAAATCATCAGATAGAAGGGGAACCAAAAGAAAAGAGGGTCACCAAAACACAGAAAGAAGAGCATATCTGGGAGAAGAAAGTAGTCAGTAGTGTCAACTACAGCAGATAGGTCAAAAGGAATTAGGACTGAGAAACAAGCATTGGATGGCACTACTCTCTGCCTTTCTTTTTCACATTATATTCAGTCTTCAAATTTAAAGAATTTCTAAACCGTCTTTACTCATATGAAAGAATTCAGTTATCTTTCTGATTAGGGAGATTTAAATTTATTTAAAGAGCATTCCTTTTGAAATATAGCTAATGTGACTGTTTAAATGTATTACTAAATCCTTAAATGGTAGCATTATCTTTTTCTTTCTGATGGCTGGTCAGACTAGTTAGAATTTTACTTCTAGATAGGTCAATCCATGGACTTCTTGGGCTTACTGTTCGATGAGGAGGGGCAGCCTTTCATTTCCTGCAGACACTGGCTTGATTAAGTTTCAGCTGGAAGTGAAGACAGTAGATCCTTTAAAAAAAAAATTCACCTTCTCAGAGTCCCACCTCTTCCTCCCTACCCCACTGAAAAAAAAAAAACAAAAAAGTCTTTTGGAATGTAGTTTAAAATTGTTTTCCAGAATGGCTAGACCAATTCACAGTTGCACCAACCATGCATTGATATACCTAAATTCCCACACCCCCTCCAGCATTTGTCATGAGTTGCTTTAATTGGATTATCTCTAATTATTTGTGATGTAGAACTTTTTCTTCTTGTGGCTATAGATAGCTTGGATATTCTGCAACAGAAACCATTCAAGTCTGGATGCTCAGACTCTGTATCTTAGCTCTTTATGGAAGCTTCTAGCTCTACAGAAATGATGAACATGTTGATCTGGAATGAAACATGGTAGAAAAGAATGAATACTGCAGAAAACTCAAAATGTATTTATAAACACATTTACTAGAATATATAGTTGTGAGGGGGCACAGGTGGCACACTGGATAGAGCACTGGGCTTGAATGTCATAGCATTTTTAGTGAATTAAGTTACAACTAGGAATATGTGTAACATAATATAAAATAATCAATATAAAGGTCATTTTGATGTTAGAATTTTTTATCTGGGTCATGACTTGTAATATTTAAGATACAGTCTTAAATATAGTTCTATATCAAATTTATTTCTGTATATTAATTTAAAATAAAAATAAAATGAAAATGCTCACTCATAACACGTGGTAGAAAATGGTAGGAGAATTTTATAAGCTCTCTTGCTAAGAGATAGAAAAAAAAATCATATTTTGGCCATTTAACCAATTGACAGAAATGAGTACCTTTTTATGGTATAAAATACTTATGTACTGGCTAATGATGAGCATTAATTTAAGTAATAAATGTACTTAAAAATTCAGTTCCATATGTTGCCGCATTTTTAACAATGCTTATATATAAACATCCAGAGTCAGGGAGAGATCTGTGTTCAAATGTGGCCTCAGACACTTAATAGCTGTGTGACCCTGGGCAAGTCACTTAACTC